TTTTAACAATTAAATTATAAACATGACATGCACACCTAACATGAAAAATTTCATCAAGAGGTGGTTGCAAATGCAGTTTTAATATTGAAATTGCGGCATTATTGTTAGAAGCATTATCAAAAGACATACACAATACTTTTTGCTTGAGATTATAAAATTCAACAACTTCACAAATAGTACTACTTATAAACGCAGCAGTATGACTCTGATCTTCATCATATCTAAAAGCGATAATACGTTTTTGCATACAAGTAGTATCATATATCCAATGACATGTAATTGTCAAATAATCATTTTCATTAACAGCATGACCAATATTAGAAGTTAGAGAAACTTTACAAGGAAGGTGACTAAACAAATAGCGTATGTATGTTTGATATTGTCCATGAAGTCTAAAGATATCAGCTCTACAAGTACTTCTAGGGATACATTTAAATAAAGGATTCTAAATCCTTTGAATATACACAATAAGATATGATGAAGAAGCAAAAGAAAAAGGTAGACAACCCAAAGCAATCACTTTTGTTAACTCCTCACGATCCTTCATTTTATCATATTTCATAAGACCCCCAGTAGTAGGGTTAAGAGTTGTTTGATTTTCATCACCATCAGCGCCCCATTCTATGAGATGCTCAGTTCTCATATGTCTACTAAGCATCCCAGTCCCCCCTAAATTTCCTCCAGTCAAATGTTTAAAATTACCTTTACAAAGTTTGCATTTAACTCTATCAGTACCTTCTATTATTTCAAAAAAATTCTAAACCTTACTTCTTTTTCTACGATTAGTAGTCGGAGCCACAGGTGGTCTACTATAGTGCCACGACCACCACCCCTTGTAGCAACTCCAACACTACTAGCTCCAGCACTAGTAGGTGTAGCTGGTATCTCATCTTCCATTCCTAATTCATTATCTTCTATTCCAAAATCTTCTTGTAATTTTTCATAATCTATATTATCATTAGGCGATATTTCGGAAACATGTGTAAATGTTAATGGGGTATTACTATTACTACCAGATGTTGAAGGACTACCACTTATTTTATTTTCCCTACCAGTAACTTTTCTACACGCTCTTTTAGCAGCATTAAACATATTGTAAAAATTAAAGTATAAGCTAAAATTAAATATGCAATTAAAATAGTAAATATGAGAAAGAGTTGGAGGGAGTGCTCCGAATTCGACAATAAATTGAGTACTTGATTACGCAATTCCGATGTTACCACGAACAAACGTCAAGCAAGTATTTCAATTTTGAAGTTCAATTGTTCAAACTTCAAAATCCGAATGATAAAATACGACAAATTAAATTCAAGAAAAAAGAGCCAAATAAAATTAGAAGATGAATTGAAGACTTGAAGTCTTGAAAATTGGAGAATGAGAGAAATTGAGATTGAGAAATGAGAGTTGAGTGAAGAA